GGCCGCGGGGCCCGGGGCAGTGCCCTCTCGCTGCCTGCCCCCGGGGTTCACCTCGTCAGCGGAAGAAGTTGTGGGGGAAATCGGAGGTGCTCACAAGCCCGACTGGCACCAGGAGCAGACTTTTGGGTTCAGTGGATATGTCTTAAAAGAACATTGCTGTTTGTTTCCATAGGAGAAGTGGGGAGACACCCTGAAATCCTGGAACTGCGCTGAAAGGTAAGTGAAAGTTAAGAATTCTCTTGACAGCTGCTTCTTGAGTGAGATGGTTGCTTGGTTCCATTGAGTACCTGTCTCTGGGGAGCTCAGCGTTTTGCATGCCGTGGCTATGTAATTATGAAGTGTCAATTGCATTAGTATCTGGATAATTAAATTATTTTTTATGCTTCTCAAGGTTGAGTACATAGTCCCCTTCATCTGAAAAAAAAATGGTAAAAGTTAACTACTCACTGACTTACAAAAGATTAAATCATTCCTCAGTTGTAGGCAATACAGTAATGCTGTTTCTTTATAATAGAATACAAACTCTGTTATATTAATATCTGATGCTCTTATAAGAATGGGAATCAACATTGGTTTATAGCATCGTGCTGGCAGAATTTTAGGATAGACTGTAGTGCCTTTTTTTTTTTTTTTGATATCCTGATGTAAAGCTGCTTCTGGATTTCAGGGTTTTTTTTATAGGGATATGGGGAGCGCATGAGAAGAATTCCAGGAGGAATGCCTTTATCATGTTATTAACAGTGAAATAGAGTGTTCTAAATAGAGTGCCATCTGTTTAATCCAGACTGCCTCTGTCTGGTTTCAGCATTGAATGTTTTTCACTGTGAGATAAAGTCTGCAAGATTCAGAGCAGTCTCTTCTGCTCTGCGGATGCAGTGTCAGAGTGAGAGGAGACACATTTGTTTTTCTGTCATGTATGTGGGGTGGAATTGCAGGAGGGCTCTTTATCTGTGAGGTACGTAAATCTCTGTCTTGTAGAGAATGACGTTCTGTCAGATACCTGTGAAGTATTTCTTGTTTCTTACTGTGGCTGAAAGTTAATAGGTATGTGTTCAAAGTCCGGCATTGCCGAGGAATGTTGATATTTTCCTCAGAAAAAAAATTTCAGTGACCCATAGACATGTTAGATACCAGACACCTTGGGTTTATTATTTGAAGGAAAAATACAAAGTCCTTGTTTTATTTATGCTTTTTTTTGTTTATTTTGTTTTGTTTTCTTCATGGTGCTTGGAAGCATGACTTGATGATTTCTGCGTGAAGCCATACTTTACTGGTATTGCTGAGTCTGTCAACATGAATGTTCAGTTCTGATCACAGAATATTGACTTTGTGTGACCTATTGTGGTTGAACAGAATTGTAGCAGAGGAGTGCACTCGGCAAGATTTGTCTTCAAATACTCTATTGCTTTCAAGGTTTAGCAAGGTTTTGGGTAGCTGTTTTCCACCACCCAAGTACAGAAAAACTCTTGATAGGAAGAATTGTGTGCAGTTGATAGATTCGTTCTACCATGAGGTTGTTTAATGTTTTGCTTCCTAAATTTTCTTTTCTTTCAGCATGGACCATACTCTTTCTTCTAAAAATAAGACTGCAAATATGAGAGATGTGATGTTTTGGGAATATAAGAAGCTTTTTGAAGCTGTATCTTCACCAAATAAGTGCCCGCATAATTTCAAGGGGGCTTGCAGTCTTGCTGCAACCTGTTTTTGAGAAGGAAACTTCACCATAATTACAGTGTCAGTCTGAAGAAATGAATAGTATGCACAAGGAACTAACATAAAGAAAAGAAATTTTTCATCTTGTGTAAAAAATGCTGGACGTCCTTTCGGAAGGGAAAGTCATTGGAACTCCATGTACAAATAATCAGTACTTTTTGTGGTTTATTCAGTTGCGCTTTTTTTGTACTAGTCATGGTGGTGATAATTACTGAAAAGATTAAGTGTTCTAGGATACAGTTATGTTAGCATGTATCCAGCCATGCTAGTTATGATTTGCTGGGATTCCTGCTTATGTTGCTAGGTTAGAGGAAGGTGGCAGGGTTTTCTTGAATAGCTTTCAAAAGCCCATGTTCCCAGAAATTTGTGTTGATATGCATTCTGGATTAACAGATTGTACGATACATTATGAGCACTGCTCTTCTCTGCCTGTGCATATAATACTCTCTCTAGCACTGAACTGTTTTTAGTGGTATGCTCTTCATGATTGTTTTCTGGAGTAGAGAGCTGTGTGACTGACAGTGACTTGAAGTATTTTCAGTTTTGAGATGACAAAAAGGTGTTGTGGGGTTGTTTTTTTTGGGGGGGGGAGGGCCTCAATATTTTAATACATATTTGAACTATTTAAAACTAAATACTGCATCTTTTTTTCCTGAAATTGCGTGTTACTTTCTCCAGCTTTGTATTAGTAGTCATTTGTAAGTCATTGGAAGCCTTTTGTCATTTGAATAAAATGGTCAATCCTGCTTTAATTACAATAATGATGGCAAAGATCTTTCTTTAGTCCACCTTGGTTTCTTTGGATGCTTTTAAAAAAAGGCTGTGAAATGTGGGGAAGCAAATTATCTTCTTAGGCAGCATTAGAGAGCTAAATATTTTATGGATAGTATCACAATCTCAAACCACTGTTTCACCTCTCTTTTGGATAAGTATGTGCTGGAGCAATAGTCTTAGTTTCTTTCTGGGTTTTTTGGGGGTTTTTTTGTTTGCTTTTTTTTTTTGGCAAGCCAAAGACCATTCTTCACAGGAACAGCCATATTGGGCTAATCTGCTATTCTCTCTTGAAGCCTAAAGCTCTGGGATACTGGTATGTGACAGGACCATTGTTTCAGGTCCTGCTCGTTTCCCACAGCTAGGCAGTATTTGACAGCAGGTGCTTTATTTTTACACTCTTTTCTAGGCAAGAATATAGGGTTACTCCTTAGGTCAGCTCTCCCAGTCTCTCAGTGGGGATGATGTTTTGTATGGATTTCTATACATATTAAGTATATTCCACGAATATACTTAAGTATATTAATTACTTAATTAATTACTAATGGAATATACTTAATTAAGTATATTCCATGAATATACTTAACTTTTAAAAGCTTTTGAGCCTGTGTATGGTTTTTGTATCTACCATGTTTTCTGGCAATAAGCACCATACTTCATGTATTGTGTGAATAAGTCATTCCTCTGTTCTGTTTTGAACCTGTTATCTGAGAACTTCATGTGATACTCTTCGTTTTCTGTACGAGGAGGGGCAGAACTGTTTGACTCTCTCCCAAGCAGTTAAATACGAGTTTTAAAGATCAGGGTAATGTGTTCACTCAAACACTTGTCTGGGCAGGAAAATAACTTTAGATTCTATTAATTTTCTTTATGCTTGTTCCCTTATATTAAGATATGAACTAGTATCAGGAAGCGAAGCTGGAGGCTTCC